ATTCTGGACTGCAGTAAAATAAGTAAATAGTTGTATTTATTTATTGTAAAATATACATCGAAGTATATTTGTTGGTTGGTGCTAGTTTTTTTCCACACGATAAAGATTTCGTTTCTCTTGAAGATGCGAGCGTACATGAACAGGAATTACTCTTCGTATACGTATTAAACAAATGTGAATATTAAGCCTTGTTATCATATGGCATAATGGTAAAATATGATTCATGTATCGATTAAAATAAATATACAACGATTATAATTGTTATATTTATTTAAACATGACTAGTGTTATATGTAAAAATTGTTATATTCTTTAACAGCATTATTAATAAACAATAATGTTTTGTCTTTACTAATATTAATAGGTATCACATAAACTGAAATATTTTGTTACATTAGCAGATCTGCCAAGTACTCTTCAAACTCCTCTTCCCTGGTCTTTTCCAAACAGTCTGCTGGTTTCTCTTTCCAAATTGCCGATTCATCTTTTTCCACTTGAGTGACAGATTCTTTAGTGTTATTTGTCAAGTCGTCGTCTTCGATTTTAATAGTTACAGCAGATGTACTCGGTATATCGGTCTGCGCTTCTAGATTTTTTCCCAATCTCTTTAATGCTTTGTGTCTCTTCGCTTCCTGTTTTTGCGATCGATAATTTAATTTTGTCGAACATTCAGGGCACAATCCTTAAATAGCAAATTATCAATGAAAATACATAGATTAAACACAAATCGAATGCTATAAATAAATATCGCTTACTTAATTTCACAAGAGCATTCTTTTTCTCCCCGTGTTCAACATAACCAAAGTTTACCTCCCAAGATCTAAGATCCTCATTTGTGTTGCATCTTTTGTTTCCACATTCAAATTGGCCTTTTCCAACTATTACTTCCTTCTCTGTTCTCCATCTTAAGGCAACCTGTTAGATATTGATCTTTACTATAGGTTGACATAAAGTTAATTATTTAACAAGTATAACAATCACATACCTTGTTTTGCTTGTAATATAATAAATCGGCGATACAGTATTCTTTAAACAATTTATCATAATACTTTTTAGCCAAGCGTGCGCCCCATGTGTCTGGCTCATCATTATTCTGATCCCAAAGAAATTTATGGTTTTCTTTAATAACGTCATAGTCTGTCTTATCTCGGGACCTCGAAACACAGGCCGAAACGTCAAGAGCTGCTCGTTTTAAGGTTCACAAAGTTATCATTTTTCTTCGTTGTTTATGAATAACAATAATTATTTACAAAAGGATTCTTCTTGTAAACAATTAGTTGATTAATAATTATTGAGGTTATCGAAAGAAACTTTCGTAGGTTAACCCGAAATATTAATACTTCCCCATACAATAACGAAGAATAGTATAAGTGCAAGAAAATGTAGTACCAAAAATACGATCAAATTTATTTTAAATCAATTAGAAAATTTAACATACGTGTCGCGTTTTAAAGATGATATGGACCCTCCATGCAGTGTCAAATAATCGTTTATAAGTTTCTTATGTCTGTCATAAGCAGACAGATAAGCATACGCTGGAAACATTTCCTCTTGTCGAAATAATTTGAAAATTTACTGTATTTTGGCGATCTGATATAGTCAATTGGAGTATTAATTGGAATTCATACACACAACACAATTAACCGACATGTATTCAACGCAACGCAACGGTTATCCATACAATATGTATGCACACATTTACGTCTCACATATATGTATGTTATATATATACTATTTGCCTACAACTTTTTAAACAATATGTTAAACTACTTATACGTATTATAAAATACTATAAGAAATACGTACATCTACTTTAAAAGTAATTACAGATATTCGCGTAATTGTATCTGTAATTCCCATTGATTCTCATTAATTCCCATCGTTTACATCGACAATCAGTAATGTCCACAAACTACGGGAGTACAAAACGAGGGGCTACTCCCTGGTCAAATATGCGATTGCAATTTGCAACTTCCGTAGCCGTAGCATGTTCGTGAAGGACATGGCGCGCGAAATTACAAAATCCAGTAAAGCGTACTCAACCAACAACAAGTTAATGGGTACAATTTCACATTAAATTTAATTTTTTAATTTCTCCTCAGAATTGCATAAGAGTTAAAAAGATATTTCTCCGTCTCCAAAAGCAAAATTGAAAACAGTAGTATCTAAACATAAGAGAATTTGAAGATTCTATTAATATTAAAAGGAAGAAATCTGGAAATAGAAAGGATCTATGTATAAATAGAAATATGCTTTTACAAGATAGAACAAAAATTAGCACGGAACCTAATAGTTACGGATATTGCACTGGAAATAAAAAATGACAGGAACAAGCTATATGTAAATTAGAAGATTTAGGCTATTAGAAGTAGTATGGGAATATTTAGGAAAGAAGAAAATTGTAAAATACTATGGTTTGAAAAACGCGCGGTAAAATGCCCGGGCCATGTCAATTCAACGTGACTATATTGTAACTAGAATTTTGATAATGAATCAAAATAATTATTTTTTAAAATTATGTTTATTACTTTTACCTAAAAAAATAATTATGATGTTTATTCTAATATACATCTTTTATTTAGTTTGTACAAATGTATGTATGTATTACATATATGTGTACATATGAATGCATGGTATACCTGCATGTAATTTTTTGTTTTCTCGCGTGGTGGCGTATTAAGCAAAACATTTTTAAATTTGCACAAGAATGTGTTATTCTAGATTTGCGACACCATTGATTTTATTTAACTAGAAGCGGTTGCTTTAGTTGAGATTTTCACATTTGCATTCGATTTAACAGACGTACATTGTGTACAACTATATATAAATAACATGTCTGACACAGAAAATATACGACGGTCGTCCAGGATACAAGCTCGTGTTAAAGGTATTGGCTAAACATAAAATTTGAAAGTCCGAAAATTTGAAAATACATATCTAATAAAAGTACACAACCGTATTTTATTCAAAAACCTCACTCGAGGTCATATCATTTATCGAAGTAATATTTTTTTCTGTTACAGAACAAGGACGCACAAAAAGTGATTTGAACGAAAATCAAGATGCATTGGAGGAAAGATGCATTGCGTCGAGGGAAGAATTGAATGATATTGAAGAAACAGTTCAAAAACCAGTTGGTAATTTTGAATAATTTTTCAGGATTTTGTGTCCTATTAGTTTTTCAGAATGTAATAATAATGAAAATGCCCAATGTTTGTTTAGAATTATTCTCCAATGACGATGTCAGTGGTCAGATATTATATAAATTTCAAACACATGGCAAGAAGAATGCCATGACAGAAAAGGCAAATTTATGCCGTACACCTGTTGCTTCCAAGAATGTGTTGCTGCCAAAAGTTGTTCTTGAAAGAGTAGAAATATGTAATATAAAAACATCCCATGGACATGAGAATGATGGAAAAGGTATCAATTTTATTTTTAATTATTCGAGAATAAATTATTTAATAACACCCCACAAGTTTGCAGAAGATTCCAGATTAAATCAACTTCCAGTGAAAGTGAAAGCATATCTGAACCAAGTGATTATGTGCCATCCGATGAAGAATCTTCAGATGAATCAAGTGAAAGTGATAAAGAATTCATTAATGAAGAGGAGGAGGAGGAGGAAGAGGAGAATGATATCAAGTCCAAAGCTTTTAAGAACAAGATGGCATTCCAATCGAATTTATTGAGTACACCAAAAAGAATGGGTAATAGAAATAAACCAGCAATTGTCCATAAAGATTTTGTAAGTAGGGTATTATCTTTACAGAAAAATATATATCAAAGAATTTATTCGTAATAATATTTCATTGTTTGTGTCTTTACAGCATATGAGAACCGATGAATACTTTGAAAGCCAAACAGGGAAAGTAGTCACGTCTGATCGTACATTGGAAGATTTACGTAATTCACGTTTAACAAAAGAAAAATTGGAAGAATTATTAGCAAAGCAAAATTATCTATCGATGCGACATAAAGAAAACATTTGTTCATTAAGCAATAGTTATACCACCTTATTTCACATGTGGTATTTTATTATGGAGTACGTATAAAGCACATATAAAATAATATCTTCACTTTTTGCAAATGATTTTACACTCTGTTTTATTTTAGACAAGGTTACTCCATGTTACTATATGGTTTGGGATCAAAAAGATGTTTAATTAATAATTTTCATAAAAGTATATGCTATCATCCATCATTGGTGGTGAATGGATTCTTTCCTAGTCTGACATTAAAGGATGTAAGTTATATAAATAGAATCAAAATATAAAAATAAATCATGATATTATAAATTAACGTATAACTATTCTAGATACTGGATGGCATAATTGTTGATCTATTGGAATTAAATTGTCCTGCCGACACAACCGCATGCATAGACATTATTAAAAAGGCCTTGAAGAGAAATCCAAAAGACAGACTCTATTTGTTAATACATAATATCGACGGTATAATGCTACGTTCAAGTAAAGCTCAAGACTTGCTTTCTAGTCTTGCAAGTATACGAAACGTTCGTGTCCTGGCATCGGTTGATCACATCAATGCTCCACTATGTACGATTAGTTTTACTTTTACTTTTACATTTACTTTACCATTTACATTAATATCTGTTTACTTAAGTTATTAACGTTATTTTATATTTTCATATTCATAGTATGGGATCATGTAAAACGTTCAAGATTTAATTTCTTTTGGTGGGATGCAACTACATTTTTACCATATCAAGAAGAAACGTCATACGAAAGTTCACTTTTAGTACAACAAAGCGGTGCTTTGGCTTTATCATCCCTTCAGAACGTCTTCCTTTCGTTAACATCGAATGCCAAATCAATTTACATACTCCTCGCTAAGAATCAACTAAACAATAGCAGTAATGCCACTTTCACAGGTAATTCTTTACTGTATATCGTACGATTATCTGTGTAAATCCAATCCTTTACACTTCATAATAATCATATTTATTATACTATTTATTTATTACATATATTTATTTATACTTTATTGCTAGGAATGGCGTTTAAAGATCTCTATCGTGCTGCCCGAGAAGGTTTCCTCGTTAGCTCGGATTTAGCGTTAAGAGCACAGTTAACGGAGTTTATAGATCACAAGTTAGTCAAATTGAAGCGCAATATTGATAGTGCGGAGCATCTTGTAATTCCATTAAGCAACGCATTATTGAAACAATTTCTGGATGAACACGAGCCATGATATATCCAACAAATTCTTTTTAAGTTATTGTTTAAATAAGGTATACTATTTTTGTATTAAATCATCGCCGTCTACGAAGACTGCGAATAAAAGAACAACAACAAATGTTTGTTAAACACAAAGAAAAAGTAAACGCACAGGAAAGTGAGCGCAAATCAAAATGGTATTCAAATGCAATCATCCCATTACAATATGCAGTAGGCCAAATAAGTACTTGTTTAGTTAATTTCGATTTTTCTGCGATAATGCGAATTAAACAGTTATATTAAAAGAGAAATCCAAATTGTACCAACAACTTTTTCGAATTTATGTTATCCCCTCAAAAAGGAAAAAGGGAAAACTAAGCAAATCCTTCTTGATCCACTGTACACTGCATTCTAATGTATTTGAGTCCTAAAAGCGGTAATAAAATAACTATTAGTAAAAAAATATTTATTTTATTGCTATATCAGTATACATGTATATGTAAGTACATCTACAAAGGCTGTAACCACTTTTGGGATGCAATCAGATGCAAATAGCCCACATGTACGCTGTATGCGGTCACTTAACACGTGACGCTGGTATCGTTTCAGAGCAGAGCACCCAGGTGGCAATATCGTGAATTATTTTTTTTCTGTGTGATTATTACACGTTACATGTTCGCCGGCTAGTGAATACAATACGGTAATATCAGATATGTAACGGCTACAGCAAGCTACAGTAAGATGTAAAGTACGTTAGGTCGTACGAGCGAGTTCGCGCTAGGGAAACGTTGAATGGGTGCTGCTCATTATCAACGTATTCGTTCTGCGATTTCAATCAGATAGGACGATAGTCGATAGGTAATCACATTGGCAGATACTAGTGTTCTTTGCAGTCCAGTAACGACCACAAACTGAATAACAGCGCGTACCGAGACGGGTACCGAGAGAGCATCGAAAATACCATCGTTCAGTCGGGTGTGCGGTTACCGGCTCATTATTACATTACATATCGGCCTAACCTAACTTTCGCGTTGAGACTTTTTCTTTTCGTTTACTTTTTTCCTTGTTATTTTGAACGAGGTTATTCAATCAAGCGGGGATGCTTCGCCTTCTTTTAGCTGCGGACAATATCGTAAGTTCATTCGAAATGTTAGTGCGTGAAACATGTGCCTGTGTGTTGCAGCCTAGCGTGAATTACAGCTTCTATTTGACATTGTAAACACGATGTTACTTGACCTTACAATGGCAAGTTGGACGACCTTGACTTTGGCAAGTATACAATACAATGACCGAGTAGTCACCACTGTCGACCATGATTCAATGTTTTCTCTACTAAGTAATTGTAATACTATAATTGAAAAAGTGCTGAGTCGTAAGCGGATATTATAAAGCAAAGAATTTGCTGCGTCAAACAATAATAAATCTCGGTCTTTCTTGGAGCTTCTTTGTCCTGAAAAAAGCGACAAAGAGTTCTTTGCTGTTTTGATATATTCCTTATAACATAACAATTAAATGTTTGTTAGAATTTAATCATTTTAAGCGGATTCGACTTTTTATCGATTAATCACGATATTTTGTAGTCAAATTATGTGATTCAAACGGTGTTCGAAAATTTTCTGTTGTCCAAGTATCTTTCTTAACCTATCAATCACCGGAGACAAATTAAATCATTATTCGTATTCGTTTATATCCTTCGGGTTTTCTTATCTATCTCTCGAAAAATTTGTAATGACCATGGTGGAATCAATTAGATCGTATTTACGAGTCATATTCTAAAGATATACACTCCAAATCATTTTTACGTTTCGCTAATTGTGCTCGTATGTGTATTCATGGCAGAAAAATCACCTGGTGAACAAATTGAGAAAGGTGTTGCAATTATTATAAAATGTAGATAGAGAAATAGGTACATAAAAGCAAAGTTCTAACATACATATATATTTTTGTTACAGATAATCTAATACAGATTGCATTTGATGCAGTACAACAGTGATCGTTTTGGCATATATATATATTTTGGTGAGTCAGTTAATACGTAATGATAAACTATCTTGATACGTATTAGAATTATGTGGTAACTTGTCTATAAAGCTGTGGCAATTGTTCATGAAATTTTATTTTCTCTAAATACAATTGAAAAATTTCTTACAATGGTAACTAAAGAAATTATTAGTGTCACAAGAAACCTACAGATTTATATTGGATTTTTCTTTTATTGTTTTATTTCTAATTACACACGATCTTTTCCAAAATACATGTATAAATTCTCGAATGGTTTATAGCCTAGATGTGAAGTACAAAGTATCGTTACAGCAAGATAATGGATCAATTTATTATGTATTATTTTGTTAATTGTGCATCTTGTAACATGGTGAACACGAAAATTGAAATGTGGTCGTGTTCTAAAACAATTTAATTACATGTATGCAATTATAAAGGATTACAGTAGCTTGTCTATATATGTTCTAGACCATTTGGGTATTATCAACAATAACCCAGACAGATTATAAATAATATATAAAGAATAACGAAGACAGTCTGTTACATTTAACATACTTTGTTATTTGAAAATTTCATTCATATCGTTTGTAGTTTAATTATATGAAAGCTACAGTTTCCATCTTTATCGACGGAATCCAATCGGTCCGAACATAGCTGAGATTTTATAATACCGCCGCCAGGTAACGTTCGGAGTCTAGTATGCTTCCTAACAATGTTTTTCATAGTTTTGGAATCGTATTTCGGCAGCAAACTTTATTAACTGTTCCGCGAGTTTTTAATATTTAAAAGAAATTGTTTACCGAGTGTTGTGTGGCTTCGTGTTCGAAACAAGAGCGTCCGAGACTAGAAATTCCATTATCGGTCTTGGGAACGTCATAATTTTGCAACGTAAGTACCTTGTGACATTCAAAGAAATATTTATAAACATGCTTGAAATTCAAACATGCTTCGCTACGTACGCATCATTACGTTAGGAATAATATTGTGAAACTTTCTCAAAGATACAGTATCGACGAACGAAAATTGGTCGTCAATATGAAAGCAAACAGGTTCTTATTCTATGATCGATTCTAAAATGATACTGTGTTAGATATCTTTGGTTAGGTGACGATTCAAATATTGACGCATAGACGGTGCTCTATATTTTTCATCGAAACGACATTTGTCTTTTATTCGTTAGAATTTAGAAGATACACTTTAATGTAACAACTGTCCTCTTGGTCATCGAATGATCAGATTCTGTCGTGTGTCGTGACATACGAATAAAATTCAAACGTCCGCTACCATGACACTACGTGATTCAGCGTAGACGCCGTCATCGATAACGTTCTATTTAAAACTGTCCAATGCTTTATTTAATGTTTCTTTCAATTAGATTAGAGTAAAAGTTCCAAACACCACAGATTCGTTCCCGAATAGATGCCAATCTTTATACATACGTACAACTGTTGTAGTTAGTCATGATTATTTTTCCGCCGTTTTTTGCTAATATCATTGTAACACCGGCGGATATTTCACTTTTCCCTGGATAAAATCAATTTCACCGGTCGTCCTGCCAATTTCATTCTAAAACTTGCGACTCCTAGCCTAGCGGAGAGGAAAAGGGAGGGGAGCGTGGATACTCGATACAGAGTATTGCGAATCGCGATTTATTCGGCAAGCGATAATTTGAAGTTGACCGACCGCCTGCTATTGTCAGGGATCCGCTGACGCGTGCAACACTACAAAACCCGTGTCCGCGAACGCTTAACCAATTTCCGCTTGTTTTACCAAAATCGAGGTCGTGGAGCCGTTAAGCGTCAAGGATCACTTACGATCATCAACTCAAGATTCTACGTGCATGACTCATGGAACTCTTTTATCTCGACCACGGAGTGATTCCTTCCATATGCGTGGCGGCACGGCTCGGCTCGACTCGACTCGGTTTGGTTCGGCTCGGCTCGGCTAAGCGAATATACATAAGCACGCGCGCACGCGGCCTTAAATAATGCTCCATTGTTGAAATATTGCCCCCTCCCCACCGGTCTCCCTCCGGCAGCTCCTTTGCCCCGTTCGATCGGGTTCACTTCGCTATCGCGACTTTTACGCCTACCAAAGAGAGAGCAACGTTTTAACATTTCGAGGCGCAGGAACGTCACCTTAGGTTCTCGTTTGATTAACAATAGACCGATCGCTTGGTAATCCATAAGTGGTTTCGAAAATTTCACCGGTACCGGACGATCGCTTACCAGAAATTGTCGACTCCAACAATTTATTCTTGGTTACCTAATTCATCTGTACGGCTTGTTCTCGTGTTTTTTTTGCATATATATATATATATATATTTTGGTGAGTCAGTTAACCCTCTATGGGCTGAATTTTTTTCTTAAATATAAACAAATTTCTGCAACGGAAAATCTATTATTCTAAACCTATATATGCTAATTAAAAATATATTTAATAGTTTAAACAACTTTATTACAACTAATTCGATTTGTAACTTTGAAGTAACAACGGCTTACAATGTTTCCACTTCTGTGCATAAATGCTTAAGCGTGAAATTCCATAAAACAGTTTGAATTTGGCGTTAAATATAGATGTACGTTGCATTTGGAACTGGTTGCCAAATAGTTTCTTGTGGTCTTGAATTTTCCTCATCCGATGATAATTCGGTACTAAATTCATCGTCACTGTCAATAATATCTATGCGTCGTCTGGTAAATGCTACTGGATGATCTTCATCGGACTCAGAATCTAATAAAGAATCTTCGGATCTGTTACCGCTAATGTGTCTAATTCTAATTCCTCTTTTATTTTCATACGACTTTGAATCCATATTTTGGATATTTGATATATAAATTTGAAAATAGAAGAAAGCACAGCTATTACCCTAAATACACTCGAATCTACCACAATTTCCCAATGTAACCTGAAAGTTACAAAACTGTATCATATACAAATAGTAACAAAATGATTATATTGAAAAGCAAATAAATAAATTGTTATTGATATACGAACCCAGAGCTATTATATACGCGTTTTTTTATTTAGTAAACGCCGACAAAAGCACAAATAATCTCAATTGCACAAGATGGTCCCTTTGGTTTCTATCTACAGACAACTTGCAAGGTATTTATTTTGACATTTCAGGTTGATGGTGCAGCCAACCGTCATCAATATTATTATCGGTTATTTCAGAGGCATTATATAATTAAGACGTATACATCATCTTGTGAAAAAAACTAAAACTATTTGGTAAAATGTGGATATATTATATTAGCTTGTGACTTGAAAGTTACATGGGCCCATAGAGGGTTAATACGTAATGATAAACTATCTTGATACGTATTAGAATTATATGGTAACTTGCCAATAAAACTGTGGCAATTGTTCATGAAACTTTATTTTCTCTAAATACAATTGGTTAGCTAATTTATCCGTACGGCTTGTTCTCGTGTTTTTTTGCATATATATATATTTTGGTGAGTCAGTTAATACATAATGGTAAACTATCTTGATACGTATTAGAATTATGTGGTAACTTGCCTATAAAACTGTGGCAATTGTTCATGAAACTTTATTTTCTCTAAATACAGTTACCGTGCACTATGATGCTTCGTATACCAAGGGGTCGTCCAAGTAGATTCTTCCGCGTTGCGTACTACGTGCAACTTGTCCGCCGAGACAATGGGACGCTCAACATTGTTTCTCCGGCACGTGCAATTAATCAATAAATTCTCTTTGTTCCTTCGAGAAAGGATTCCTCTGAAATAGAAATTTTTCTGCGGTGAAGCGAAGCGCGGAGCGCTTTGATCGGCACCTCGCGCCGCATGGAAACACTCGGAACGGATGCACACGATGCGCAATTTAACAATTTCTTCGTTCGTTCTTGAACAGCCGAAAACGGCAAACCGATTGAATTTCGGCGCGTTCTCTTTGGATCAGGAATTTTCATGTCGGTGCATCGAGAAGCAGGGGAAATGTTCGGCGATGTTGGCAGTACCGGTTTCTTCGTGGAAACGGCTCGGTGCTCGCTGCCATGTATTTGTTCCTATGGTGGAAGTGGGAAACGCGAACCTCTGCCACGGCATATTAAATGTCCCGAGACGACGCGCGACGGAGGAGCACCGGTTAGAGCTGGAGGATGAACGCGCAACTCCGCGCTTCGGTTGGCTCTGCTCGTACTCTTTATCGACTGCACAAGACGGAGGGAGGGGGAGAGAACACCACCCTCGAAAATGCAAATCGATTACTTTGCTCTGCAGCCCCGGGAATATAACCGGACGATCAGGATCTATTCGAGATCTTGAAATACAGCGAGGTGTCCTACAACGAACGAATGCTACAGCGAACAGAGGTTTTCTCATTAAATCAAGGTGCTACAATGAGCACGAGGAAACACGATAAAAGTAGAATCGATGACTCCTCTCATTCCTCGTCTTTATCATTTTTTTTTATAAATCTGCACTCGCGTATCCAATGCGTGTGAAACATAAATATAACAAATTAAATTTACAGTATTTATTAATATTTGCGTATTCTTATTTTTTTTTATTTCATATCGCGTTTATTCTACTTCGTGCGAAATTATTGTACGTGCTGTAAATATTTGGCAATGATTTCGCACGAGGTAGAATAAAAATGTGACATGAAATAAGATAAGTAAGAATATGCAAATATTAGTAAATACTGTAAATTTAATTTGTTACGGATTTCTTATTTAATTTACTACATTGGATACGACACATCAATGGATTCTACAATGAGATTCTAGAACGAATTACATAATTCGTTACAGGCTATCTCCACTATATTTCATTGAACCGTTCAAGGCTCTACGATTCTTCGTCTCCCGAAGATTTATCGCCGCTCGAAGTTGTCGAATAAGTTCAGAAGGATTAACACCGGTACATGATGCAAGTGTTCTCGCTGTGTAGAACGGCGGCGAGTTGTGCCGCGCGGTAGTCGATCGAAGTCGACAAAGTAGTTTAGCTAGTGACATTCAATTACGGGAATTGAAGACGGTCGCGATCGCGCCG